ATACTAATTTTCGTTAACGAATTAAAATGAGACGAAAATGTTAGGGAAGGATGATTTGGGACGATATCCAGTCAGACTCAGCCAGGACTGATGTCTTATGTGGTAGTTACAGTAAGTACATTTGCATTGTATTTGTACCGTCGTGATCTAACCGCGGGAAAATGCGGCGCTGTTGCACACACTACAGACTCGTGCAGCAGCGCTTCGGACTGCTTCAGCGAGGGTTGTAATCAATGAATAGCGCACATTTATGCCAACGATTGCTTATGAACTAATGTTGATGAATTGTGACAATGTTTACTATACGATATTTATATGGTAATATGTTTTAGACGGTTATAAAAATGCATATTTTATTTCCCTCATCTGAACTTGAATGAGCAGCCTGCAACTGTACAATCCACAGTGCAGACATTTCAAAATAAGAGTCACACTGTATTTCAAGCTTTTTTCCTGGTCATTGTTGATATTTTGGGTACATAAACTGTTTTTAATTTAATTTTCTATTTAATTAACAACTATTGTTGCTTCTGTCTGGGATTCCCCATCACAAAATGGACAGACTAAGAAGGATAATTTATTTGAAGCTGCGGATTCGGGTGACGTTTTAGCTCAACAGTGCATCACTAATCTGCCGATACCGATACTGATATTTTTTAGACCTTGATTCAAGGCCTGAATTTCATTTTTGAAAAAGGGGGAATTCCCCTCTTAGGTGACTCTTGTGAGAGGAGAAGCAGCTTTCACACAGGAGTCCGCTACTGATCCGTGGCCGTTTACCACAAACACAACATTTATCCATTATTTTAATTTCAAATTCAAACATTGTCACTGAAAATGCTTTTTCAGCATTGCGATTCTTTTTTTTACACAGTACAGTAATACAATCTTTCACAGATATGCTTAAACACAAATATAAGAAACACATTATTCAGTGCTTTTTACTTCTGCATTTACTTCTAGATTTATATATTAAGTTGCTCAAGCAAGTGGCAAAACTACTTTTCTTACGTTATCACAAACTTACCATTGACAGAAATAGTCAGCTCTACTTCCTTTTCTTTTGCATTTAAATCTTTATTACAAGCAATCCTGCGGTTTATAAAGAACTTTGTTTTCCTACCTGCGATCTATTATTGCCTTGTTTATCTAAAAGTGCTCTTTCCCTTCAAACCTAACCAAAAAGCCATATGTGTTGACTGTGAAACACAGTAGACTTTAATAATATGCATTTATGGTGTAATTACTACATTTTCGTATATCAATCCGTGTTCATATTTACTGCAAGCAATGCGATGTTACTTTAATTCAGCGCAGCAATAGACTCGGTGCAGAAACCATCTCTGCACTGCTGCAGACGCACCGCTCCTGAACGCACTGCCAGACCGCAACCATGTGTAGTGAACACTTTAATCCGTTAACATGAGCGTGGAAAAAATACGCACCACATACGCACTGCAAACGGAGTAATGTGAACCTGGCGTTATATGTGTGCGCTGCGAGTGTGCGTGAGCACACGGTCTTCAGGAGCACTGAATGGTTAAACACACTGGCAAGAATTAAAAAGTAATGCAATTTATAAACTTTAGTGACGATGTGACACTGCCTCGTTTGTGGCAATTCCTGTCAACTGTGCAGCTCGCTTATAGACAGACGCGATGGGGTGATTTGAAGACATTTGCATATTTTAAGAGAGCGCGCGGTGATTCACTCTCGCTGTTTGTAAAATTACATCTCTCACAAGGTTTTCAAATTACTTTATAAGTTATTTAATGAAGAAATACGAGTACTTCACCTTCAGCATTATAATTATTTCACCCGCGCCGGACAGAGATTGAAACGGTGCCGCTGCATGTAGTGCCAAACCTCAAACTTTTAGAGACCGCCGATCAATCATCCCAAAGCAATTATCGGCCGATAGTGATCGGTAGCCGATCAATCGGAGCACCCCTACTACTTACAATAGCATTTTAAGTACAAAACCCGGACAAATGCCTTGAAATATATCATCTGATCGATGTCTTGAGGTGTGGTAGCTGTAGTATAAGCGGAATAATTGACTTTGGTCCGTTGAATTCTTAGAAAATAATGCACACCCGACATTATTTTCTAAGAATTCAATGACCCGTCATCAATTATTCCTTACTTATTATCGTTTTTAGAACCAACTTTTATTTTGGCGAGTTGTAAAGATATTTTGGGTTTCTGTTTTAATGGACCCTTTTCACAAGACTGTGACGACGCGTTTCAACGGTCATCAGCATTCATAAATATTCATAAATCGAAAGTTTTTTATATTTAGATTTTGTTTAAATGTATGTACATTTAAAACACTATACTTTGTATTATATCACCTTTACATGAAACTACAATTCCTTACTTATTATCGTTTTTAGAACCAACTTTTATTTTGGCGAGTTGTAAAGATATTTTGGGTTTCTGTTTTAATTGGACCCTTTTCACAAGACTGTGACGACGCGTTTCAACGGTCATCAGCATTCATAAATCGAAAGTTTTTTATATTTAGATTTTGTTTAAATGTATGTACATTTAAAACACTATACTTTGTATTATATCACCTTTACATGAAACTACAAAAAAACTAGTTAGCGCTAAAGCGAGGGTGTTTCTAATGCAGCGTCTATGGGAGAGACGGTAAATTTGACATCTTTCTCTCTTCTGACCGCCGTTATCAGTCTCTCTCAATATTTTTCTTTTATTCGAAAGCAATGAAAACACTATCGTTGAGATTTTCTTTTGCTATTTGAGCAAATGGGAATGCAAAAAAATATATTTGTGCTAGTCTCCCATTCACTGCTCTCAAAGTTTACCCAACTATGACGACTTCCGCTGCTGAGAAACCCGGAAATGTGAAAAAGGTCTATAAATATTACTTCAGTAAAAAAAAATAAAAAATACAAAGACAATTTCATCGGTCATAACTTCTGGAGATAAATAGTGCAAACACTGTGTGTGCGTGTCAAGCATGCTATCCAATTACTAAGTATACTAAATGGAGGATACTTTGAAAGGCTGTGAGTTCAGCTGTAGAGTCATCTGAACAAACCACTAACCCTAAGTATCAGCAATACCAATAGTTATTGCTTACAATTCACACTAATACGAAACAGGTTGATACCAGTGATGCACCAAAATCAATGTTTCATTTAGCCAAAAACCAAAATGTTTAGAGTTAGCCACACTATAACTGAAGGCCATGAAAAGATCACTAAAAGAAAACTGTCTAAAAGATCTCAATTCATCAAAATGAAGATCAATTCAAATCAATATTGTTAGTCCAGGACTACTGTAGTTTACCTGCTGTAGCTTATCCACATTGTGTATACACAACAGACATTGACAGTCAAAAGATTTTTTTTGGTCACCTGATATATTTACTTGACGTACCCCCTGAGATTTTAAGGTAACAAGTTAACAATTAAATAATTTGCATGTTCAAGGTTCTCTGACGTTGGATAATGATCAAATGACATGCAAACAAATATTTAATCTTTTTAGTAAGCGTTTTATTGTTATTTTAAAATGATTTTTTTTATTTTACTTTGTCAAAATTTCCCAGTTTAATGAAAGCTGATAATGTAATGTTTAATGCACTTTGTGTTTTTTATAACAAAGAACGTATTTTTTTCAATAAGATTATATTTAAATCAATGTGATAAACAAGGTAGGTCAAAAGTAATCAAAAAGTAGTCTGATTATATTACCTAAAATGTGTAAATGTAATTAGGGCTGCCACTAACGACAATTTTTATTTCGATTAATCTATCGACTCAATTAATCTAAATGATTAATTTCCCACAAAAAATCTACAATTTTACTTAAGAATATTTTATCAAACCAAATGAAATCCAAATTTCTATGAAATCCTTTTTTTAAAGCAAAAGTGCAACAAAGTGCAAGAAGCAAGTGTCCATCTCAGAGTCCAAATCACTGAAATCAAAGTTCAGTATAATAGTGTAAGAATGACAACATATCCACGTGTTCTAGTCTAATAATAAAATCATAATCAAAAAACACTTTTTAAAGCAGTATTTACCAGAAATATTATTTACCAGAATTTATTTAGGAGAAAAATATAAATGTGCAGTATTTCTAAAAAAAGAAAAACTATTTAATTTTTTTTTTTTATATAAAATCAATTAATTGGAGATGCTTTTGATTATTAAAATTTAATGGAACCATTAAAATGGAATCCAGAAAATAATGGAAAACAGAATTTGGTAAAGATAAAACTGTAAAACTTAATTAATTAGATCAATTAATAAAATTTTATTTAACCACTAAAACAAAGTATAGAGAAGAGGAGAAAAAAAAAAAAAGATTTTGGAAATAAAACGGATTTCACAGGGCCCTATAATTATAATAATTTTTTTTCCACTGATTTACTGATGAGTATTAGTAGCTTCCAGCGCTGTCTGCTTGTGTTCTCTCTTCCATGATCGCTGCTCTGACTCAGAGGTAATAACATTTAATTTCAGCAACATTACATGGCCAAAACACACATTAGATGGCAGGTCCGGATTTACCTATTTTCGTGACATAGAAAAAACTAATTTTTGGGCCCCCTTCCCTATTAATATAATAGACCTAATATTACCACCCAAGCAAACAAAAATATTTCTTAATCAGTGGAAACGATACAGTGTTTTCTATCGGAATAAGCGCTTGCGTTCAGTCAATAAAAATCTAATAGTTCTTAATTTGTTTGAGAACTGAGAAAGACCATACCATATAGTCATGGCCACATAACCACCTCCGGGAGTGCATTACTTCTCTAATAATTTTAACGGCCTGGAGTCCCAACCACACATCAAGACATTGTTCAGATCATTTGTTTCAAGACATTTGACATGTTTCCGTCCTGAAATCTCGTGTGGGTTTACGCACCTCATCCCAAACCTTCCGTTGCAAATTCCAAAATGTCATTTTAGAGCCGATAACAGAGGCTTGAGCCATTGATATGCAGGCTAACGCAGTTATTATTGCAGTCTAATGCGGTTATTAGAGAGAGGGAGATTAAGTGCGTGTGAATACCTGCCTCTATGCATCTCTCAGCAGCAGCGTCTACTAATAGCGAATCTTTAAGTTAAACTCCTTCATGAACCTCGCTACTGAGAAACGTCATGTAGCTTTTCAGCTGCGAAACTATTTTACTGATAAATTCGCGGTGCAGCGCTGACAAGAAGTTTCTGCTCGCGTCTCCGCACTGTGTGTGCATCTGTGAGAGAGACTGGGAGAAAGAAAGCCTGATTTCCGTAGCCTACATAAAAAAGGTGGAAGACATGGAAATAGTTTGTCATTTTTTACCCTATTGTTTGTTATATTTATTTGCTCAATGTCTTGAGCAATGCGTAAATCCGGCCCTGTTAGACGGCAATCACAAGTTATTACAAACACTCGATGGTGGTTTAAAGTGAGTTTTGGGTAAAAGCGGAATATATGATGCTACAGTTTGCATGAATGGTCACATAACACGCGCTTTCGGTCGTGTAACGTTAGTATGAACGGACATCTGCATATGACGGGAACTCCACGCAGCTCCCGCGCTACTCTATACTGCTGGTATTACAGTACCACGAGAGCTAAAGAGAGCAGACTTCGAATCGCTCTCGCGGATGTCAAACACTGATCGATCTGCGCCGCGCCTCTTCTTGTTGAACACACCGGCTAGTGCTGCAGGCTGTTGGCTCACTGACGCTGATGAGATTAACCCCTTAGGTATCGAAATTTGGTACCGAACGACAAGACGTTTTTCGATACTCGATGGTATCGAGGCAATTCGGTCGGTGCCTAAAAAGTATCGAACTCGATACCCAGCCCTAGAGACAACACCAGTAATACCGGTATCACCGCTGGGGCGGGGCGTTCCCTCTTTTCCTCGCTTTCCTTCACTTTTAAATAGCTTGTAAAAGCGGCGTGTGCATTTTACTTTCAGTTCGGCGTCAATTGCTTGAATGCAACAACAAAATACAACGTCAAACTCACTTTATATAAAACATATAACTTTTATTAACAAAACAAATAAAAATGCACCATGCTATAGTGCAGGCTATACCTAATATAAAATAACTTACATAAAGTTTAAATATTTATGAAAAACTGGAAATAGGCCAAGTAAACATGTATAATATATAACCAAATATATAAGAAACGTAGAACGTTTGTTAGCAAAACGAGTAAGAAAGCCTGGAGGCACGGCATACACCTTGATGTAAAAAAATAAATAAATAAATGACACAAAGTTTAAATAAAGTAAAAATCAGCAAACACTGTGGAACCAATTAAATAAGAAACAAATGTTTAAAAAAAACTTCCAAAATCACCTTAGATAAACGGCAAAAGTCAACAGGCTTTTCAAAATCCAAAATATTGCCAAACAGGCGCTTTTGCATCTAGTTTAGAAACTAAATCATCCGCGATCGTCTTGTCTGTCTCGCCTCACTCTTCTCGTCAGTCAGCTGGACTCACTCTCCTCACTGGAGAAATGAAATCTTATCTGTGATGCGACTGTCGTTCGGCATGCTGCATTGAGCAGCCACGTTCAGTTTTTAATTGTAGTGTCTGTTCTTTTACTGAACTAAATGATTTTTATTTCTATAAAAAAAAATCAAAACGACGGTGGGGGTCTGTGACACGGTGGGCAAGTGACGTAACCGGTGTTGCGGCTTAACACTGGTATCACCGTCAGCACCGTCTATCGCAGCAAGCCTAGTTCAAATAAAGTATCAAAAGCAAGAAATCATATGGTTTTATTGAACAAAATTGTTAAAATACATAATGTATTATAAACAATAGGGCTAATGTACATTACGCATTACAACACAGGCCTGCAGAGGGCGCCAACGGCCAGATGATTCTTTTTACACATTGCTGTGCGATCTAATACTTGTTTAATATAAGCCAAGCACCATTTCATTCAAATGTCCACTTAATCTTTAATATTTGGCCATTTCTTTAGGACAGAAATGCTATAGCCACCGTATGTTGCGTTCCCAGATGAACGTTATAATAAACCCAAACTCACAACAACATGCAGAGATGGAGTTTGAGACGCTCCACACATGTAAATGATAACCGTTCCTGTGGAACTACTGTGAACGGAGCTGCTGTGTGACGCATGTACTTAACCTACACGCATGTAAATAATTAAAGCACATATACTGTATTAGAACTGCATCGCATATAATTATTTAATTAAATCGTAGCGTTTGTGAACTCAATTATGCTTAATTATGATTTTTAAATGGGTTTAATATCATGCAGCCTTGGAAAACAGTCTAATAATGTCTTTTATAGATTCTTGTCCGTGAAATGCGCCACTTCCAGTATTTTGCCGGTTAGTCGACGCGAGCAAAATGAAGTCGAGGATTTTTTTTAAAAATCGAATAAAATCGATGAATCGACAGCCCTAAATGTAATGGATTACGTTACTAACTTTAACCGAAAATTTAGTGTTTACGGTTGTTCTTTTGCATTATTGCACACTATTTTTCCCATTTAATACTGTAAAGCTGCTTTGACACTAGGGGTGGGCAATATGGCAAAAATATCATATCACAATTTTTTTTTTTTAGAAACATCACAATTCACGATTTTATCACAATTCTTTTGTCATGTTGGTTTACTATTTTAAACAAGTTGTCTGAGCATTACAGCCAAACTAATTTCCCTATTATAAAAACAAAGCCATTCAAGGTAAAGTATAAAAAAAGAATTAGGCCAAAGTGGGTGAAGATCAAAATCTTTGTCATTATTTTATCTTTGTTATTAAAAAATAAGAACAAAGATACACAATACAGGGTGTCTACAGATATGAACAAGTTAAATTTAAGACTTTTTAAGAACTTTTTAATACCACCTTATGTGAAATTTAAAACCAAGCCTGTGATGGAAATACACATTATATTACATACGTATATGTAATATTTAACATGTTTAAATGTAAAAAGAAAACAAAATATCATCGCTGTCAAAAATTCTATTTGTTATTACGATATACAGTGAACTTTTCATATCAGCAGACAATATCCCATACAAAATATTCCCACAAAACAAATGTGTCGCATCACCGAGATTTTTGGTGGTGTAAACAATTTATTCTGAAGCAATATTTTCATCAGTTTTCTGTCAGCTTTTACATACTTAAATCTGCATGTTTTTAATATTTACCACAGGAGGTCATTTACCTTTTTTTTACCTTATTAAATGTATGTGTCATCTTTCAAGTCAAATTCATTATCAATCGCTGTTTAAGCTGAATGTAATAAAATCAGAAGAATCATTCGCGCGTTTTGATGCGTGATTATATTTTGTCACTTAAGTTTTAATCAGGCTATTAGTCCTGTCGGGCAAGTACAATTCTCAAGCCATTTTTCAGTAAAGTTGCATTAACCCATTTAAAGTAGTTTGGAGGCTGGTGTTCGACTGTATTCTGTAACCGCAATTCTCTCTGATGACACAGTAACTTTTATTTAAGACATTTTAAGACTTAAGGACCCGTGGTTAAAACAGGAACTGTTTTATTTTCAGGTACAATAGGTGTATTTAGCAGTAGCATTCAAGAAATGTAATTAACAAATATCAAAATAAAACACTATATAGATTGATTCCTATTAAAGCAACTGTATTAAAGTTTTTCAGTCAAGTGTAGGCTAGTGAGTGATTTTTCTCTTTGTGTTTTGTTGTTTTATTAATATTTAAGGAATAATTCCCCCAAAAATAAAAATTATTTCATCTGTCTGTCAATTCTGTCAGTGTTTTATTTTTATACTATCATTCACTCACTCAAAAGTTGTTTTAAACCTGAATGAGTTTCTTTCTTCTGCTGAACATAAAAGCTATTTTGAAGAACATGGAAAATAGTATTCCAGTCTTTTTTGCTCTCAGAAATAGCGCACGAAGAGCGCGCAAATGAAATGTTTAACTGGCAAGGCTTTAAAGTATATGCAAATAATGTACTTTTGTGATTGTGAGTAAGTGCAGTGTCTCGTGAGAGCAACTCGACTGCTGAGTTAACACTGATGTGAATGTATGTGGTGTTGTACAGTATATTGAGACGGAGGCGTCAGAACTGCAGCTGATAGAATGTGCTCTGTAGCACGATACTACGATATTTCTCCAAAAGCAGGTCGTCGAGATATTTTTATCGTCCACGATCAAAAATCATCATATCCCACACCCCTATTTGACACAATCTGTATTGTTAAAAGCACTACACAAATAAAGGTGACTTGATGAACTACAATTTTCGTCATGTAATTTGGAATCAGAAACAGACTATAATTTGTAAGTAATCTACCCAGCACTGCTAGTTGATGCTTGTAAATTAAGAGGCGCAATATTTTTGCCCATGTTTAGCGTGTGCTCCTAGCTTGTATTACCTGGCATAGTAACCATGGGGGTACCAGCCCACAGCACATCCATGCCTGTGGTGTGTCCGTTACAGAGCGGCGTGTCCAGGCACACATCAGCCAGCTGTCCACGTCGCACATGCTCCTCTTTGGGAGCCACGGGGGAGAAGATGATGCGAGAGGCAGGCAGGCCCAGGTTCTGAGCGTACTGTTGGATATTGGGCTCACCCACGGCCGGGAAGCGCAGCAGCCAGATCACACTGTTGGGCACACGCTTCAGGATCTACAGAACCGAGAGCACAGTGAGTAGAGCTGCCAGACAATCAGTTTCACAATGAGTACATGCTGTTGCCTTCAATGAACCCATTCAAAAATCGATGACTTTGATTTACTTCAACAATTTGAGTCATTACTAAAAATGTTTACAGAACTCTCTATTATGTGTAGGTAACTACAGCGGCTCACCTTATTTTAAGTGTAAATAAAAAAAAATATGATTCAATATTTCATTGTGTTCATTTTGTGAAACTGACTGGTTCTAAGAATAGTAAGGTAAGGAACGGTTTTGTCATTTCCATTTGAGATTCGTTCAGCACAGCATGTAGTGAGAAGGGTTTGGTCTGACAGTGATTCAAAAGCAGCTTTTAAATCTACTTTGCAACAAAGGCTGTTTGGTTGAAAAAAATTATATTCTGAATTATGTTTATTAAAATAAATAAAACGGAATGACTAAATTTGAGATATACAATATAATTAGATGAAATAAATTTTAAAAAGATTTAAAAAAAATAAAATATATTTTGAAGAATGTTGTTAACCAAACAGTTGCTGCTTTGCCACTGAATTCCACAGTATTTTTATCATACTATATAAGTCAAAGGGGACCAGCAACTGTTTGGTTACCAGAAACATTCTTCAAAATCATTTTGTGTTCACCAGAAGAAAGAAATTCATACATGTTTGGAACAACACGAGGATGAGTAAATGATGACAACTTTCATATTTGGTTGAATAATCCCTTTAAAGCACAAGTATGCTTAATTTTAACCAGCTTTGTATTGTTGTAATGCCAGTAGTATATGTAAATGTACATGTACTCTTTCTCTGTGTAACCTGGACCCAGATATCACCATTTGTTTGTCAGCAAAAGTCTACTGGATAACGAAAAATGCACCATTTTGCATTACCCGTGGGACTTTTGACAGATCAATGGTTTCTGTTAAAATTATAGATCGAACTTCTGCATTCTGTATTCCCGCCCACAGATAGTGGGAATGACAAGAGTAAAGGCACCAGTGGTCGACCGATATATTGCCAAGGCCGATATATCGGCCAATATTTGGCATTTTTCAAATATCGGCATCGGCCAATAAGTTTTCCTGTTTGGCCGATGCGTTCGAGGCGGGACTGTTATTTTGACGGCGCAGAGAGCGGCAGCGCCTGAACACACAGTGCTCACATTCTCTCTCTTGTTCGCTGTTGTTGTTAAAGGGGTCATATGATGCAATTTAAATTTTTCCTTTCTCTTTGGAGTGTTACTCGGTGCATAAAGAAGATCTGTAAAGTTGCAAAGACTAAAGTCTCAAATCCAAAGAGATATTCTTTATAAAAGTTAAGAGTCAGCCACGCCTACCTAAAACACCTCGTTCTAACACGCCCCCACATATCTACATCACTATGTGGGAAGATTTGCATAACGCCGCCCAAATGTGCACGCAAAGGTGTAACTTTTATTCTCGCTGTAGTATTGTTGCCGCCGCCACCATGTCGTGAAGGCTCTGTGTGTTTCGTTGTGAAAGCGTAAATACTTTGTCTGGCCTTCCAAAAGAGGACACGACTAGAAATCAGTGGTTAAGTTGTATTTACAACACTGTTCCAGAACAGTTCAACCCAAATATTCAATTGTGTGCAGCGCATTTTATGGAGGACTGTTTCCTGATCTTGGGAGAGTAGACTACTATGCCAGCTGTTCTGACTCACAGACTGCAAGTACGTTTTCATATTTAAAGTATTTGCCACTGATGATTCAAACGTGAGTTTTGAGCAGTGTAGAGTAGCGCTTGTTGTTTGTCATTTCTCCGATCACAAATGCAGACATGGTTTTATGTTTACGCGGTGCAACGCAACGCAACGCGTAAAAAGACATAATTAACATCTAATTTCAAAAACCTTGCAAACTTGGTCGGATCCAGTTGTGAGCTCTTGTGAAGTGTGCATGTGACCTGCATGATCACGTGTTCTCTGCGTGACGGTCGGTCCGTGTGAATTGAACGCAGACAGGGGGAAGAATTCAGCTCCACTGAGACGCACGATCGACAAACTTTAAACTCATGATTTTAAATTATGCTGCGCTTATATGCATTTGCCCACTGTCATATTCATGTCATTTTCACTGTGTGCTGTATGTAAAATGAGTGTTACTTTGGCTTTATTTGAAAAAATATGATTAATGCACACAAACTTCCCAGAATACTGAGTGCCCTGTTGGTTACAGTGTTTACTTCCTTTTTAATTATATTTTTATTAAATATTTATTTATGAAAAATACTATGTCATCTAAAGTATAAGTAAGTTTATTTAACGCATTTATTTTTTTAAATCAATTTTCAAATGATTTCAAATTTCTTAAATATGAATTAAAATAAATAAAATTATATCGGCTTTATATCGGCCACCCTGCTTTCCAAGATCAACAGCTTCGGCTGTCAAAAAACCAATATCGGTCGACCACTAAAAGGCACCAAAATTAAAAGTGCATTATGGGTGTTCAAGTCCACAAAAGTCAGTTTTCTCTAGTCATGTAGAACTGATTAAAAAAATATATATTATTTTCTTACATTGGCCCACATCTGCAGGGTGGGAGGGTCAATCTTATAGAGCTGGTTGAAGTTGCAATAGACAATAGAGTCTTCAGGGAGGCCATATTGCGAGCGGGTGGTCACCACGATTGTTCTGGGAACTTCTTCTCCTGTTGCTGCTTTGTTGTTAATCTAAACAGAAAGATTTAAGAACAGATGAGTTAACAGTTTAGGTACTGAAAAGACAAGCATGTGCCCTATAACTGTCGCCCATCCCTAGAAGCCTTTCAACTTCTCCGCCACCATGTTTGTGCCACCTACAGCAGTGGTGTGAAGGCCCAAGTGTAGGGAAAAATGGCTATTGCACATTCTGTCTCAAAGCATGCTATTCTCATCCAGCTTGTGTGTGCCATACCTGCAAGGCTACAGTCCCAGATACTATAACCTCCTCCACTGTAAAAATCTGAAAAACAACAACATGTGGTAATACACTGGCTCTGCCTACTATAAAATTGTCTTTTTGCCAGATTTTCGAGATGATCGAAGGACAAAACTGAGGTCATAAGAATAATTTTCCACCACCAGTCTGAGAGAAATTAAGTCTCTCATGTGCAAATACAAATGGCACAAGAGCAAATACAGTCACGTTCTGATAAAAACACCTTCACACCACTAAATCTCGATAAAGAATTACACGTTGTCAATTTGGGCATGACAGAGGCATCACTGACCACAGAAGAATACTCAGAATTTGATCATTAATCAGAAACTGATATTGTGAGCATGATTCACATAAACACTTTAACCTAATATTCCAGTAAACAAACACTTAACAAATTATTCAATGGAATATCCATTTATATATATATAAATGAATACTCCATTGAATAATTGGTTAAGTGCACTCGTCCAAACAAAATTAAAAGAAATGTAAAACAGCGTGCATGTAACACTCTTTCTCAGAATGAAGGCTTAACCAGAAAAATTATGTGCATGTAAATGTGGTCAAATATCCACCGATCTGTCATGCTAAGAAGGATGGACGGGACTAAATCCAAGTCTGAGAGCAAGCCAAGACCCCACAGCCAGGGAGAACCCGATTTTCAAAGCAGTCAAGTTAGTGAAATTGCAGTGAAATCAGCTAAGTGAAGTACAGTGACTGAGGGCCTACAATGGGCCGTACCTGAGTGGTGGCCAGGCCATTGCTGACCGTAAAGCCGTTGATGGTGACCTGGATCTGGCCCTGGTTGATCATGTTAATGATGGCCTCAGCGGCTGTGTTCATAGGGATGACGGGCATGGAGAGGGCACCGTTACTGTCAGTGGACTCTTGACCATCACATTCCATCTGAAAGTAGCAGAATAATGAGAAAGAAACATTAGCATACCTGTTTAACAGGGTAATGGAATGCACTAAAGCAGTGATTTCTTCACAAACCTTCACAATTTTGATGTCTGGCAGGCTTTCCAGGAAGGCTTTCAGATCAATGCCATTCAGTACAATGCGATTGTCAAAAATATGGCCATTTGACTTGAAGTCTATCACCGCTTTTTTCTATTGGGTAAAAAGAAACACATGAATCTGTTTCTCTGTAAAAAAAAATATATATATATATTTTTTTTTTACAAAGTAATTAGAGACTGAATCTTACCTTGAGGTGAGGGAACATATTGGCATGATCTCCAATGAAGAAAGTGTTCGGCATGTAGGCCATTTTCTCAGAGTACTGCTCTGCAACCTCAAAAGGAGACGTCTCCTTATCAGTGATAATGTAGTCCATGAATGGAGCTCCACTGGTGCCTGGGTATCCAAGCCACATGGCCTAGGGTAGATTGGAAAAAGTAACTTTTTCAACTAAATTTTTATATATTATTTGAAGTGTATGCAACCACTTAAAAGTTGGGGTTCAGTAATATAATTTTTTATTTAAGAAATTACTCATTTTATTCAGCAAATCACATTAAAAATAAAAGATTTATGTTAGGGCTGTCAGAAAAAAAATTTAATTTAGAATATTCGTCAAATTTAAAAATAAAAATCCACATTCGAATGCAAAAACGTTGCATTCGAATTTTAGGTGTGCGTTAAGGAGGCAGCCTTATCAGTGGCGCACAAGATGTGATGACGATGTAAGTGTTGTTGCATTATAATGTTTTTGTTAGCCTATCCAGTTGAAGCCACTGCTGCGTTGTTCATTAAAAATATTGCAGAAAAAGAGAACAATGCGGAGAAGATCTTGTTTACGTCAAAACTGAAACCAAGCCGTTCACACAGAACGCATATTTCGTGCATTTTGTAGAGGGACATTGTCTATCACAGTTGCACTCGAAGCCATGTAAAATTAATGCAAGTTCAACTTTGAAAAAAAATAAAATGTATCGAGACTATGGTGAGGTTTTTTCCCCATCTCACTGCATCTCATGTTTTTAAATGAAAAATGTACTGTGTGATTGGCTTTCGGCGCTTTGTATTAAACTATGCGTACATTCATGATGCTGTTTTGTTTATAGTTTAAGCAACTTAATTATAATTGGTTTATAAAATAATGTTTATGATGTTGATAAAATAATGTTTAAAAACTAAATTAGAATTTTGTGCTTGAATATTATCAAGCACAAAATTCTAATTTAGTTTTTCAGCCATTTCGACAGCCCTAACTTGTTACCAAATATTTCTTTCAAATAAATGCTATTAATAACAACATGGTAACACTTTAACAATAAGGTGTCATTTGTTAGGATTAATGTATTAACTAACATGAACAAGCAATGAACAATACATTTATAACAGTATTTATTAATCTTTTTTAATGTTAGTTAAGAAAAATAGTCATTCAGTGTTTGTTGATGTTAGTTCACAGTGCATTAATAAATGTTAACAAACACAACTTGTGATTTTAATAATGCATTAGTAAATGCTGAAATTAACATTAAGATAATGTATTATGTTATAAAGTAACATAATATATACATAACATAGTATAATAATAATATACAATGTAACTAATAGTCATTCAGTGTTTGTTGATGTTAGTTCACAGTGCATTAATAAATGTTAACAAACACAACTTGTGATTTTAATAATGCATTAGTAAATGCTGAAATTAACATTAAGATAACGTATTATGTTATAAAGTAACATAATATACATAACATAGTATAATAATAATATACAATGTAACTAAAATAATAATAATAATAATAATAACAAATGTTTCTTGAGCAGCAAATCAGCATATTAGAATCATTAACAACAATTTGGGCAAATATAATGTAATTTAATGGAAAACTATGTGAATGGCGCGGCAGGATTTTCTGTCGGCTGCATTTAAATCCGCGTCTGAAGTTTCCTGCTTTGTTCAGCGTGCAGTATCACGTGTCTAAACAAATAGCACGTGCTGTCAGTGATTTCAACCACTGGAGGCCGCTCTCGTACTGTATAATGACAGCAGACCCTTCTCAGCTGTTCCAGCAACGGACGCAACCCGGAAAACTATCGGCATGGACTTTTGCCGATAACCGATAGTTCCAGCAAAAAAACTATCGGTGCCGATTAATCGGCAAAACCGATACATCGGTCGATCTCTAATTAGAATGATTTCTGAAGAATCACGTGACACTGAAGACTGGAGTAATGATGCTGAAAATTCAGCTTTACATAACAGGAATAAATCATCATTATGGGTTTCCAGAACTTAAGTTCCTAAACCTGGCCCACTTCTCTCCTTCAATGCAAGTCTACACCTGTTTTATCACACACCCAACTATATAACATAAAATGAACATTTTAATGCAGATATCATTCTTTGTAGCGGCTTCCACTAAGACGCTAGTATTGGTAATAGGAGCGAGCAATTAATTGTCGCGTGAAAATAAGTCCATGCAAGACCGAAGTAAAATGCAAACAGTGTCTTCCTCTATTGTGCTCCAATTAGGGCTGTGTATCACCAGCAAAGTCACGATACGATACGTATCACGATACGGGACTGCACTGAATTTCACCTCAGAAGAATTTTGTAAAACAGCTGTTTATGAAACACTGCATACTATAGGGCCGTTACTAACTATTGGCAGAGCAGGCAGTTGACCTCTGCATTATGAAGGGCCTCCATAACTGTACCACAGTACAATATAGGTAATGGCATATGTTTCATGTTTACATTGGGCACTCCCCACCAGATACAATATTCAGTTTTTTTGCATCTTGTTTTTAAGCCCATTAATAATGATGTACTCGTTCTAATATATTAAAAAAATAATAATATTTACATTGCTGGTAGGTTATCATTGCACAAATGAACACTCTCTACATTTAAAAAATAAAAATGAGAAGAGTTCTAAATTATCATTGCACAAATTAACACTCTCTACATTTAAAAAATAAAAATGAGAAGAGTTCTAAATTAATGCGCTGTCTTCTGTATCTAACGCACACACACACTCAGTCACTCGCACAGATCACGTTGCGGCCTCACTCAGACATTCAGGAACAAACTTTTTAGCGCTGCCCAGCTATTTTTGTCAACTAAATAGCTTAATTACTCAAGAGCTACATTATCTTTCTCAACAAGGAGCTGATAACATTGTTGTTTCTAAAGGAATTAAAGCCACAGCTTCACTGTTAATAGAGAAACGCAGCAAAACGGTGGTAATTCATACATACACAGCACCTCTCTCTCTCTCTCTCTCATAAATGAGCACTTGATGAATTACACTTTTCTGAGAATAGAATATTGAATTTGAATTGCTAAACTGCAAGCTAAAACTAAAACTGGTGTTTTCAGAAAGCAAGCGCTTTTATCCACAGTGGAGAGAGAGCTCAACCTCATGGTTGCCAGGTTGACAAAGATATAAGTAACACATTTAGCAGATATTTCTGTATTGCGCAAGTGGGAAGCTCTGTTTCGGGGATTACGTCTCTTTATATCAGGCATCCCAGTTGTGTTTCTCTGCGGCCAGATTAAACCTCGTTATAGCCTATATATATTATGCTCTATTCATTATTTTTTAGAAACATCACACTTTTCTGCTCAATTTTAAACGTTGTTCTTGTATTCAAATTAAGCGCGGTCCACTGCTGCACACGTGCCACAATATCGATACAGGGACAGCTGTATCGATACTCGTATCGTCAAATCTCAGTGACGATACATCGTCGTATCGATGTATCGAACACAGCACTAGCTCCAATGAATAATCATTGCGTCCAATTAGCTTTCTGTGGTGTCATTTTGTCTAGTTCACAGAATACTAAAGTCCATACCTTGTAGACACAGCATACTGTTCAACTGTCCAAACACATAATCCAATTATTTGGCATGATGAAGCACGATCCAAACCCGTCCAAAACGGTCAAAAACTGTGCGCTTCCCTAGTACCAATACACACCTGTTGTCTCATTAACCAATTGCCCTAATATACTATTTCCAGTGCGCTACCCAATGGACAAACACATAATTGCATTAAAATGGCTCATACATTCTTTAAAGGTGCAGTGTGTAATATTTAGGAGGAACTATTGACAGAAATGCAATATAACACAACTATGTTTTCAGAGGTGTATAAAGACCTTACATAATGAACCATTATGTTTTTATTAACTTAGAATGAGCAATTTTATATCTACATAAACAGCGGGTCCCCTTACATGGAAGTCGCCAACATGTTGCGTTTCGTCACTATGCTGTTCTTGCGAATAAAACAGTGACACACTGTTACTGTTGATGAACAAGTAACAATAATCGCAATAACACTGATTTATTGAATAATTAAGCAAATATAATTCCTTTATTTACCTTTGTAAAGAAACCTCATTGCTTGCTATCTCTGCCGTCTCAGACTACAACATTTTATTAGTCCTGTATCGGCCACCGTAGCTTTTCTAAAGGGAGGGGTGAGCGGGGGCTGAGCCGTTGGTGGCAATTTGCAACCTCACCGCTAGATGCCGCAAAAATTTACACACTGCACCTTTAAGCTGGACTCTCTAATGCCTACCACAGGGGTCGGGAACCTTTTTTGACCAAAGAGCTAATTTTTTATTTTTGGTTTAATGTATTTTTGATATATATATATATATATCAGTGTTTCCCATACATTGATTTATTTGTGGCGGCCTGTCAGTCACAAATAAATTTTCCAAAAGGCTTTGACTTCGTTGAACAAACATGAGCACTGCACATTTCAAAATCGAAACCCAGTGTAGGTGTTTTTATATCACTGTATTTCTGAAGGAAACCGACTGTCTTCAGAAAATTTGGGATGTAATTTTCATTTCATCTTGCATGTAATGTCTGATAAAGCAGTGTTTGTGAGCTGAGCGCTGCTTTGTGTACAGCCATTAACGGGGGAACCTTGATCTAGAGGTCTGCGCGGGACTATTTTTTTAGTCCCGCTCCCGCAAGGTTATATTCCGCACCCACCCGCTCCCACTATATATTCGCTCTTTGTTCACCCGCTGTCCGCTTAGAATAATTTTCTTCCCGACCAGACCGTTCCCGCTAAATTTTGATCTCGTTTCCTCATCTCACATTTAAATTTCCGCTACTGAAAGATAGGCTAACAAATAAAAGTGTAGTCTGCACAAAATTGCATGCTATTTTATTCGTCTTGTCAAGTCTTGAATTTATTGACTTTAACTTGAATTTACATGAATTATCTTAAGACACAAAATTTGTTTAATATTTTATGCAACACAGTAGGAAAAAAAAAAAAAAGAATCAGACAAAAATATACAAAAATTGTAATTCTTATTTGTATTCATCTTGTCAGGATACAATTCGTTTAACATTTATAACACAATAGGAAAAAGTTGTTGCAGGGAGAAAAAAAATTAAGTAGGTTGTAAAAGAAATAGCCTATTAGCTAGTGACGTTGTTGCATTTTAACGTTTTGTAAGTCTAGCCCACGAGACGCACCACTGCTGCGTTATTCATTCAATATATTAGAGAAATATAGTAGCTCAATGCTTAAAAGATCTTGATTAGGTTAAAACCGAAACCAAGCCATTTACACAGAACGCATATTCAGCACATCTTTCTAGATGGACAAATATGACTGCTGCACTCGCATGTCACACAAGAAATGTACAGAAAGTCATGCAAAGTTAAAACAGTTTAAACGTTTAGAAAACACGTCGCGTGGAGGTTTATTCCTTTTCATGCGTCTCATATGTTTTCAAATGCAATTTGTGATCGGCGATTCGGCTCTTTTTTTTTAATGCGAATATATTAGAGAAATATAGTAGCTCAATGCTTAAAAGATCTTGATTAGGTTAAAACCGAAACCAAGCCATTTACACAGAACGCATATTCAGCACATCTTTCAATTTTGCTAATTGTGCCCTCGGGAGACAAGCCAAAAGTTTCCAAAAAAACGCGCTCTTTGGATTATGCAATGCATAAATACATGATGCTGTTTTGTTCATAATGGTTTATGCAATTTACGAAATTATATTTTTATATATATATTTATATTAATGTAGACGTTAAGCACGTTTTTTATGGACAGTTATTTTATTGCATTGACAATTTAATACGCTGCATTATTTTGCTAATTGTGCCCTCGGGAGACAAGCCAAAAGTTTCCAAAAAACGTATTTAATTTGCATATAAGAAAGGAGATATTTGTTTAAATTTTATTTTGTGTTTGTAAAAAAAAAAAAAAAAGTTGTCTCAATAAATTGGGCAAATTAACACAGTGGTTAAATTAGAAAAAAAATGATATTGTGTTTTGTTTTAAAAAAAGGTTATAAAAAATGTCAATAATTATCGATACCGAACGATATAAAACATTATATCGTTGATAAATTTTTTAGCTATATCGCCCAGCCCTA